GCCTTGAGCTGAAGAGCTGAGGGACAGCGCCCAGGCCCAGAGGTCAGGCCCCACAACTGGCCAAAAAAAAAAGAAAAGAATTCTAAAGACTTGGATGTTCACCCTCGCAGTTTCGTGGTGACAGTCAGAGCCCCTAGACTGGAGAAGCACGTGCTTATTGAGTCTTACCTTCTCAAGGGAGCAGAACTTTCGTGAAGGCTTGCCCTGAGAGCCACTCTGATTCAGAGACCAGCCCTGCCTTCTGGAAAGCCCCTGGCTGGCTGTCAGCCAATAAAGCAATGCACCCAATGAACTTTACATTGTTATCGGTTACCTCTCCCCATCCTCCAACATCCCACAGGTGGAAGACAAAGAGCAGGCCTAGCTGGGTTTATGAGGAAAGGATTTCCAGAATAGAAGACAAGTGATCCGAACCTCGAAAGATTGAGGAGTTTGCTGGGTGAGAGAAAAGGGGAGCTGAGGGGGGTCCTGTTCAAAGGCATGCCGTGGGGCTGATCTCTGTGGAGAAAGTTCTAGAAATCAACACATACAACTATAACCTGCTAGAGACAGCAATGTTTGGACCAAAGGCATCAGGAAGTCTGAGGGCTCAGTACTGAGCACCAGTGGCTGTGCCAGACTCAACCAAAACCCTCTGCAACCAGCACCACCTTCAGTGGTTGGTCTGGTTTGAGTCCACACCACGTCTAACTTGGAGATTTTTATATCCAACATTGAGTATTCATCCTTCCTTTCTTTTTTCTTTCTTTCCTTTATTCTTCCTTTCTTTTTTTCCTTTTCTTCTTTTCTGTCTTTCTTCCTTTGTTCCTTTCTTTTTTGTGCCGGGACTGGGGCTTGAACTCAGTGCCTCATACTCAGAAGGGCTGTTCCCTCGAGATAGAGACATGTAGCCTCATAATTGATCACACTCCCCTCTAACCCCCAATACGCCCACCTGGCTTCTTCCTGCTTGTCATCACTTGCTAGCTCCTGTAGTCACTTGCGTCTGAAGCCCCTGTTTCAGGCAGAATGACACAGCAGCCTCCCAAATATCCAGAGCTCCAATCTGCACAGAGAAAGGAAGACTCTGTGAGCAGGACGAAGGCTCACGGAAGCAACTGTGTGACCCCCTGCACACTCCCGCTCCCCACCACACACACACACACACACACACACACACACACACACACACACACTTGGCCTCAAGAGCCTTCCAACAGTAGTTCCACAAGATGTTCCTGGGCCTGACTGTGTCCGGAGGTAGGAAATCCTTGCTCCCCGTTACTGGAGGTCAGACTGACCCATACATTCCATTAGGGTGCTCTCAGCCCTGATACTCTGTGCAATGCTCATTTCTTCAGTATTCCTGCTGACCACTTTGCCAGGTAGGATGATCTAAAGGAGGATGAAAATCGTGACAATCACATTGCTAAAAGCAGAATTTCCCAGCTGGGCAACGGTGGCTCACACCTGTAATCCTAACTACTCAGGAGGCTGAGATAGATTTGAGAATTATGGTTCAAAGCCAGCCCAGGCAGGAAACTTCATGAGACTCTTATTTCCAATTAACTACTTAAAAAAGCCGGATGTGGCACTGTGGTTCAAGTGTAGAGCACTTGCCTTGAACAAAAAGAAGCTCAGGCCCAGAATTCAAGCACCAGGACTAGGGGAAAAAAAAGTCAAACACTATCTCCCTTTGAAAGATCTTCCCAGCCATCATCATGGCCAAGAGCTTCCCTAAGCATGGAAAAGAGAAGCCAAATACCTGCCTCTACCTCCTGAGTGCTGGGATTACAGGCATGTGTAACCTTGCCTGGCTCTTCGCTTTTTCTTCACCTTTCAAGATGTTTCTGCAGAAGAAAAGTGTCAGTCTGGCACCAATAAACCCTTAGCATCTTCATAACCATGCCAATCTCCCTTGTAAACAAAGACAGACTGCCTTGGGCTGCTAGCCTCCTGGCCAGCAACAGTATCCTAGGAGAAAATGGAATAATACTGTTTTGTTTTCTGTGGATTTGTTTTCACAGTTACTGCTTATTTATGGTAGTGATACGAAATTGCCATTTAAAAAAATCTATTTCAGTCTAAAACTAGCAAGTCAGTAGTAACGAAAAACTAAATGATGGCAAGAAATGTAAGTAACTCCAGGCAAAGGGATGCATGCTTGTAATCCCAGCACTTCAGAGGAACACAATACAAGATCTTGGCCAGCTTGAGCTATACTGCCAAGTCTAAACCAGCCTAAGTTACATAGTGAGAGTCTATCTTAGACCAAGAAACCAAAAAAGTGGGCATGGTGATATATGTCTGTAATCCGAGGATAGGGGAGATGAGGCAAGAGTCCTCGAGCCTGAGACCAGCTGGAACTACATGACAAAACAATGCTTAAAAAAAAGCAAGACAAGGGCTGGGAAGGTGGCTCAGTAGTAGAGCGCTTGCCTTGCATGCTCGAGGCCCTGGGTTCAATTCCTCAGCACCACATAAGCAAAAAGAAAAAAGCCGGAAGTGGCAAAAGTGGTAGAGTGCTAGCCTTGAGCTGAAGAGCTGAGGGACAGCGCCCAGGCCCAGAGTTCAGGCCCCACGACCGGACCCCAAAAAAAAAAAAAAAAGCAAGACAAAAGAAAAGAAAAAATGCAATCAAAGAAATACAAGTGTTGGGTACTGTGGTTCATGCTTGTAATCCTAGCTACTCAGGAGGCTCAGATCTGAGAATCATGGTTCAACGTCAGCCCAGGCAGGAAAGTCCATGAGACTCTTATCTCCAATGAAGCACCAGAAATCCAGAAGAGGCACTGAGGCTCAACGTGGAAGAGCACTACCCTTGAGCAAAATTGCTCAGAGACTGCTCCCAGGTGGAGTTCAAGCCTCACAACTGCCAAAAAGGAAAAAGAAAAAAAGAAATGCAAGTGACTGACATTTGGGTACCTCATCTCACCACTGATTCTCATAATAAATAATCTGATAAAAGAGACATTCTTAACGGCTTTGGGGGTAGGAGTGTGTGTGTGTGTGTGTGTGTGCGCACACGCGCGCGCGCGCGTGTGTTTTGGGAATGGAACCCAAAGACTTTGCACAAGCCAGGCAAGTGGTCTTATCATTGAGTTACATCCCCGGCCCCAAAGTACTTGTGAAAATTATTTCATCTGACAAATACTTATCAGGTATCTACCACATGCCAGGACTGTGCAAAGGGTTAGGGACAGAGTGAAGGAAAAGACAGACACAAGACAGCCTCCCTGGAGGATGACTGACAAAACGGGCACAATGGGGTGGGTGATGGGCTCCAAGGGCACAGCCCACGAGCAGCAACTCACCCTGGGGCCCTCACTCATGGCACGGTACTCCTTCCCTGGGCCCCCAGCAGGCAGAGGCTCTTACCAGTGCTGTCCCCCACCTCAGGCAAAGGAATTAAGGGCAGTCGCCCAGCCCCCTGGAGAAAGGTGAGAACGGAGTCTCCCAGGAGCCAGAAAAAGGGGCCAGAGCACATTTTCTCTGACTCTGTTCTCCCACCTCACCCCTTGGGTTCCCTGGAGCTGGGGCGCCAGGACAGCTCCCTCTTGGCTGCTGGGTTTCAGGTGACCTAGTTTCCCCCAGTAGATCCACACACCTCCTCCACCCCTGTCTGAGAAAACCCTGCTTGGTCTAATTAAAGAACTGCCTGGTGCTGCTAGCTGGGTAGCCCCTGGGACAGGGCACTGGCCTGGGCAGCCCAGGAATCCACACTTCCCAGGGGCTGGGCACCCCTGCTCACCCTTCCAGAGAAAGTCCTAGACAAAAATAAGAGTATACACAGCCAGGCCCTGGAAGAACAATGGGGTCATCACTTAGCGGGGTCCCCAAGGAAGGCCATCTTTGGAGAAAAACTAGTCCAGTGTGTTAGGAGACATACACATGCAGAGCCTGGACACATGTGGAGCCACAAATCAACAGAGTGGCCAGGCAGGTCAGGAGGGGGCGGGCGGGCGGGCGGGCTCCACGGAGGCCAGGTGGGTGAGGTCATTCAGGAAATGTGTGTGTGACATGAGAAAAGGAATCCAAGGCCAGGGGAAGTAGGGTGGGGTATTTAATTTTTCCAACATCTGGGCCATGAACCAAAATAGCTTGATTGTAGCTAACAGGAAATTTGAGGGCAAGGCACTTGACCCTTGGGAGAAGCAGGAACAAGCTGTTCAGGTGCCCTCACCTCTTCCCTTGGACCTTCCTGCTGTCTGACAGACTCTGAACCTCACTGCTCTCCCTGCACCCACTCACACTTGCTCCAGTCAGCAAGCATCTGGGGCCACGGAGGCACAGCTTCAGAAGCCAGGGCCTGGCCAGGTGGAACCATGGATAGATGAGATGTGCTACCCACCCACCCCTTCTTCCCCCTCCCGCTCCTCCCGTCCCAAACACTCCAAGAAAAGGCTATATTACAAGCTTTGCTTATAAGAGTAAGGATGTCTGGGAAAACAAACATAGCACTGGTTGGGTGTCGACTGTGTAGCTCAGCCATTATCATTCCATGCTAGGCTGTGATTGGCTTGTTATCCATGGTCTCAGCCCAACCATGTGATTGGTTGAGGGGTAGGCATACGTTCTGAGTCAGCCCAATCAGTAGCTCTCTTTTCCCAGTGCTTGTGATCCAGCTATCATGATTGGTTCAAGGATAGGCACATGTCCTGAGTTAGTCCAATCAGAAGTTCTCTTTTCCTAGTACTTGTGAACCAGACACTATGATTGGTTCAGGGGTATGCACATGTTCTAAGCTGATCCGAGCAGAAGCTCACTTTTTGGTGCAGCATATTGACCCTGCTGCTGCAAGCCAGTCTATGGATGAAGCTAATACTTGGGATTCTCAGGAGAGAAACTAGAGTCTCAGGGCATCCTATTGAAGCCAAGAAATGATGATAATGATACTTTATCATAGGGATACTGATAATGGCCCCAGGCGGGACTGTGTCCTGTAGTGGCCTTCTGCTAGGGCACATTTCCAGACAGCTCCACTTTTCTTACAATGGCTGTTGCTGGACCTTGAAGCCCAAGAGGAAGGCGCACTCTGAGGAAGGGTGAGAAGTCAAGACCAGGTTCCCACAGCAGCTTTGACCAAGGAGGTGGGAGAAGGGGACCCAAGCCTTGTGCCTACTTAATTCCAGGGGAGTGGCTGATTGACACATCTTTAGACCTGAGCCTACTGCTTTGAGGAAACACACACACACACACACACAAGGAAGGTGAAGTCAAATTGCAGCGATATTAAAATATGAGTCAGGAAGCGTTTCAAAGTTCACCCTGGTAAGAGAAAATGTGAAGTTTTTTTTGTTTTGTTTTGTTTTGTTTTCTGGGTTCTTCAGCCATTCTCTCTCCACAATCTTGGCAGGCATCTGGAGGAAGGCCATGAGTGCCTTTCTCCTTGTGTTTCCTGCACCATTGAGCACAGGAGAAAAAAAGAAAACAAAACAAACATCCTCGGCTCTCCTCCTCCTCCTCCTCCCAGGTTCTCGCTTGAGACCTACTTTCTCTCTTAAAGGCCGCACACCCCCACCTCCCACAACACACATCTCTGAATAATAGCATCTTCTTTTTCCCCCAGCATAAAGATGTTTTACTCATGAGCAAAGAAATTTCTGGGGCCCTCGGTGCTCCAAATATCTGAATTAGAAATTATCCTTGCCCTCCCGGCCCAATGCCATTCTCATGGGCTTTTAAAAATGGACTCGTTGTCCTATTCCTGCTGGGACAAACCTTTTAGATGCTGGGCACCATCATTCTAGACAGGCCTCCTGGTTCTGAATCAGCTGTGGGATTCAGGACCTGTGGGTTTGCTCCCAATTCTGTCACTCCTTCATTCAGATCCCTGGATGGTGGCCCCAGACTTGTCTCTCACTGTCATTGCCCTCTGAAGCCCATATACAGGACTCTGTGATGTTCAGAAGGAAAAAGGGATGAGGGAATCAAAAACCACAAGAATGAAGTCCCACATCGGGATAATAATGAGCTGTTTGAACCGGGTGGGAATATTGGGAGCAGAGGATCAGGCCTTCACAAAAGCCACCAGGGAAAGGATCAGCTTCACTGCAAGCCT